CACACACACACACACACACACACACACACACACACACACACACACACACACACACACATACACAGTGACAACCTCGCGGGGATAGTCAGGGAAGCTTTCTGTGACCTTCAAACGTCGAGATCTGGTGAAAACTCGATTTTTGCAAAACGGGGTGAAAACGATAACTTCCCGATTTTTGAAAATCTTCGATTTTCTTAGCGGGAAGTTAAAAATGCTCTTGTAGATTTTGATCAAGATCTACAAGAGCATTTTTTTATTTTTTTTTAGCCTTTTTTTAGTCGTGAAAGCTAGCTTATTATCGATTCTAGCCATTTCGACAGTAATATGAAAAAATGCTCCTGAAAATAAAGGAAAAAACTTTTAAATATACAGTAAAAAATATTGTGTATTTGTGTCGAAAACGGTTTGTGTTAAAAATTGTAGTGTGTTAAAATAACACAAAGCTTGTGTCATTTTCTTTTGTAACATAAAAAATGTGTTATATACTCTTTATTAATATATTTTGTATGTTACTGGGCAATGAACACAAAGTTTGTGTCAAATTCGCCATTAATATAACATCAACTTTGTGTTGACAGCCCGTCGATTCTTCACTTTACGCAGCAAATATTTTCACGAAAATATAATAAATATTAAATAATAAAGACAATTAAATTTATATGACACTGAAGTTAGCTGACGTCTAAAAATTTTTAATTTTTTTTATTACATAAATTACAACTAAAAAGATATTTCTAAAAAATTGCACTTCTAGTTTTTAAAGTTTTTTAGATGTGACACTTTTTTTTTAATTGTTAAATTGAAATTTTTTCAATAAAAAATTTCTAAAAGTTTTAAAATGTCGGTTAACTTCATTTTCATAAATTTATAACTCTGCTGCTTCACTTTTAAAACCTATAAATTATTTTTTTATTTAATTATTAAAAATTTTTCACACTGTCTTCCTTCCAATTATTTATAGTCGGTAATTGTTGATGTTTCGTTAAAATTTAAATGATAAAAAAAAACATTTTTAAATAAATATTATTTACTGCAGTTGAGGAAATAAAAAAAAATTATTTTATAGGTTATGTTGTAGTCATCAAACAGTTGATGAAAATAAATAAATTTATTTAACATTTATTTTGTGTTAAGATTGGCACTTTAGAAGTGTATGATTCTTTGCGCCCTCTTGTGGCGATATTTCAACATAATCTTTGTGTTAAAAAGGGGTTACTCAAAATTTGTGTTGAAATTTCAACACATATTTTGTGTCAACCGTTTTTAACACACAAAATGTGTTGATTTTACACAATATTTTTTACTGTGATAGCTGAATTTCATCGATTTTGAAAAACATATTTCCAATATTTCCAAACGAAAATTTATTTTTCAAAATTGCAGCTTAAATAACGAATTTAATAAATTTAAAAAAAATGTTCTTACAGACAATTCAAATACACGCCATTATCATTTTGAAAAATTATGCTAATCGATATTTTCACGAAGATCTCGATTGTTTATTAAGTTTTCAATTGTCGGATGTCGGCTGAATACACACTCATCTATTTCAGATTTTTTTTACTTGAATTATTATTTTTTACTCAAATTCTTTCAGCCATAAACAAGAGTCAACAGATGTTACCATTGTCGATTTCGATGGAGCTATATTCCATGTTTCTAATCCAAATGGTGAAAAGACAAAACTCAGGGTAAGACAAAAAGTGAATTCCACTTGATTGGCGATCAAAGACAAAACGGGTTTTTTTTTTTTTTTCGTTAAAAATCAATTGTTTTAGAAAAATAAAAAAATCAGGAGTCGAAGAAGAAATACTTTTCCATCTCAATGAACTAATTCAAACAATAAAATAAAAAAAAATTATGAATACACATAAAAAATTTCCCAAATACATTTTACAAGAAATATTGTAGCTTTAGAAAAGACCACTAAGTTGCAAAACTAATTTATTATTAAGTTATGATTTTTATTGATCTCCAATAATTGAATCATATTCTTGTTTCTGTAGATTAGCATCCTACTTAAGTTTTACGAGCAATTACGAGAACATGATGTGGATGAACTACTTAAAAAAGAATATGGGTCTCATCTCGTAGATACAGAGGCTGGTTAGTTTTGCTTGTTTCATTTAAATTTGTGGTTGTGAAATAAAAATGTTTTTTTTTTATTTTCAGGGTATGATGTTTCAGTGCAAATTGATTTAAAGAATTTACCTGAAAATTGGGAGGTAATTATCAAAAAAATTGGGCTACTCAAACGACATTGCTTTGCCAGTATTTTTGAAAAGTATTTTGATTTTCAAGAACAATATGATTCGTTAGATAAGCAACTTCCAAAAAAAGCTGTTATACACTATCGTGATCAGGAAACGATGTAAATTTTCACTAAAAATTAATGAATCTTCAATAAATTTCGAAACTATATAGATTAATTTTGTGAATAATATTTTGTTTATTCAGATATATTGAAGCTAAAAGTGATCGTGTCACAGTAGTTTTTAGCACAATATTTAAAGACGAGGATGATATGGTAATTGGAAAAATGTTTTTACAAGAACTTAAAGAAGGCAGAAGAGCGAGCCATACAGCTCCTCAAGTGCTTTTTAGCCATCGAGAACCGCCTTTGGAACTTCAAGAATGTAATGCTGCTGTTGGTGATAGTATCGGATATATAACATTTGGTAACTGTTTTTTTTTCTTTTCTATTTTTTGGCTAATGATACAACAAACTTGACGATACAGAAGACAGAAAAGTAATATTATCAAGTGAGCGGGTGAAAAGTTCACTTTTCGCTCTTCGTACTGTCAAGTCTGTCAAACCATTTGCTAAATCTTTTTTTTTTTAGAGATAAAAATGAATAAAATTTAAAATATTTATTCTGTTGTAATCAATGTTTCAAGTTTTATTTCCACGGCACACAAATGGTGAAGCTAGGGCTAATACGATTGATTTAATTCATATGTTTCGGAATTATCTCCATTATCATATAAAATGCAGTAAAGTTTATATTCATTCGAGAATGCGAACAAAAACTTCTGATTTTCTTAAAGTTTTAAATCGCGCTCGATCACAATCAAAAAATACGGAAAAGAAAACAATAACGTAAGTATTATAAAATATGTTTGCAATTCCTTACACAATATAATAAATTATATACTGTTGCAGAGGTCGAACTTTTGTCAGAAAAGAATAAATATTTCAATATTATTTTAATGATTTTTACGAAAAGCCAATGAAGTCAATGAGTGGACGATTTTATCTGTTATCCAAATAATCACTATAAGAGTGTATGCAGTTTCACATTTATTTACAAATTATAATAAAATAAATAAAAATTTCATAATTAAAAAAATTAATTGTTTTCATATTTTTAGTTATATATATAGTTAAAAAATTAAATGTAGTTTTAGTATTCTAAATATTTTTACTATATGATAAAATATGCATAGTATTAAAATATCTAATTTAAATATCATTTAAAAGTGAAAAATGTGAAGATCTTATTTTGCACGAATACACATTTCAATTCATATCTTGAAATCATAGCACATAATAGATCTTGAAATGCAAGACTGATACCACAGCTGTAAGATTTCATCTCAATACATTTATAGCATAGCTGAAAGAAGCAACCAAATGTAATAATGTACTTCCTGTAGATAGCATTAAATTAAAAGAAAAAAAAAACCCAAGCTTTATTGAAATTTCAGAAACTGCTACATTTTGCCACCGGATCGAAAATGATTGCTATCACTCTTGGTTGATATGGTATAATAATTGTTCTTATAACTTTTCCTAGTTTATCTCTTTTATACACATAACTTTAAATTAAAACATAAATGCTGGAAATTTAAATTATTCAATCCTTTCTGTGATGTTTGATAATCCAGTGTTATTAAAACATTTCAGACTATGGAGGAATAACGAAAGCTTGACGTATAAATATGAAAATTTACTAACCGCATTGTATTTATGGGACTCCTCTAATCAAGATTTTAATGCAAACTCTTGGCTCAATTACTTTTTCGAAAAAAATCAAAATTTTTCCAAGATTACTTTAGATATAACATTGTCCTCTTTTTCTCTTATTTATTTTTTTTTCGCTGGGATTCTTTATACGTCTTCGACAATTTCCAGAATGACGGTATATGAAATAAGCTTGATTAAAAATTAAAATTCTTTTAATAGATAGAAAAAAATTTGAATACAAAAAAACACCACTGCAAACATTAGATAATTCCACGAAATTATAAAATTCTGTAAAATTCTTTTTACATAAAAAAAAAAATTAAAACTGGCAATCATTGAAAATTATAATTTTTTCGAAAATGTGAAGAAGAAACAACCTGAAAGTTCGTCTGAAAATCATTATCTTTTAATTCTTGAAAAATAAATTTAAAATCAAAAACTTAAAGAAAAAAAAACGTTCCAATTAGTAGTCAACTGTTGAAAAAGTTATGGGTGTTTCAAAGTAAACACCATTTTCGTGAAAAATTCGTAGCTTTTTCTGGTTACGTGGATACTTCTACTACCTTGCTAAAAAATTATCTTGATGGGAACTTATAGGAACTATAAGGGGACTAATAGGAACTCTAAATCAAATGTTCCGAAATACGAACAACTCAAAATTCAATCTAACTTCAATGGAAATTATTCCAGTTGGAGCAACCATAACTCCTATAGAAAATATTACTGTGTGTCAAATTTTTTAAGTATTTGCCGATAACTGTCGAACCTAACGACTGATTTAATCGTATTTTCAATATTTTTGTTTAATTAAAACTCTGTTCTAAAGAACTAGATTGACCCAATTAAAATTTCTGAAAAACTTAAGTTTCGCTCAGCTTTTTGGAATATTATGTAAAGTCAATTTTGATTGGATAATTCATACTTGGCGGAACACTCGCGTCATTGTAAATAATAGTTTACAAAGTTTCTTATGGTCGTGAAATGTTAGTTGTCAAAGGTCAACAATATCAATTTTTTCACTATGATTGGAAAAAGTAAGGGCCGAATTAATTCGAACTTTACTGAATCAAATCAAATTCTTATTAAAACAGAGAAAACATTTAGTGTTTATCGAACATAAAATCCTTTAAAGTTTATTTTAAATATTAAAAAGTATTGAAAATAATTAAATTTTTTTGAATACTTTTTAATTAATCGCTAAATAATCTTGAAATTTTTGGTTTATTACAAGATTTAAAAAGGTTCAAATTAAAATTTTTTTTCCCCATTATCAAGTTAAAAAAGGGCGCAAAAAGTGGGTTCGTTTTTCTCTTTTTTTTTTTTTTTTACTTTTATTTTTTATAACTGATCAGTAATTTGAAAACTATCATTTAACTGTTCGGCGCAATTTAAAATTGCAACTCAATTAAAATAGATAGAGCCGTAGGAAGTTTTGAACATGGAAAATTCTATTAAATTTCTTCTTACAAATATCTCACCCTTTGCAGGTATTCTTGCCCAAAATGGTTTAGTTTTTTTTTCTTTTTTACTTGGAGCCATATCATTAACGGTCTCGTTTACATATTTTAAAATTTATTTTTGTTTTTGTTTTATGCTCTACATATTTCATCATTAAATTAAGATAGAAATAGAAATCGGTTTTATAAAATAAATTATTCTAAGTTATTTTTCATCGATTTCTTTTTTTCACATTAATTATAATGTGGTTAAAATAACTATCACATAAAACAATATTTAATAACTTTTGACAATCAAAATCAAGAAAAATATAGTTAATTAAATATAGATCTTATTTTCTAGCTTGTAATTAATTTCATAGTTAGTGTTATCAAAAGTGTTATCAAAAGTCTTAAATTGTATCAAAAAATGTAATTTATTGAAATCAAACAAACTAGTAAGGGAGAAAAATTTTCATCATATGAGATTAAAAACTTAATCACATAGAAACGTTTTTTTGAAACGAATTACTTTTAAAAATTGAATATAAATTCCAAGGTTAATTTTATTGAATTGTTGTTTTGTTAAAAATATTGATATTATACGAAAAATAGCTTGCATTTGTTTTTTATAACGATAGTACAGCACTATATACCGTTAAATTTATATATTTTCTTTGAATCTACATATTTTATCAAATAAAATCTTATAATGATAAGTAAAGCCTGAAATTGCTCATCCTTGGCAAATTGAGCGCACAGCATTATCTCAAATGTTTCGTATTATGAGACATGCAAAATAAATTATAAAGGGAAAAAAGTTCATCATCAAACTTAATACATCTAGCGAAGCGCTGATGTAATAATTGGAGTAATATTACATATCTGACTTTAAAAAATAATTAAGTTTTCACTGAAAAATTTATTGGAGGCATATTTTTGTAAAAGTTAAGTACGTATTATAAAATTTGTTACTATTAAATAAGTATTATATTTTATGCAGTAGAGATTGGAACAGTATTTAGTTTTTATACATTGTATATTTCATCGAATAATTGAATAAACGATTTTTATGATATTCCATAGATTTTCATCTAATTATGTCACGATTTTTAGTAAATAATCATCTTATTTTTAGTCACACGCCTTATTAATAGTCAATATCTCACTTGTATAGATTCATCAACAAACATAAAAAAAAAAAACTTATAATTCTGTCTTTACTACAATATTTTTTTTAACCCTAGTTTCAATCTTTCATGTGCTGGATTAACTTTGATTTTCAATTGTTGAATAAGATCAAATATTTTTAATGATGGACCAACTTTAAAGCCAGTCAAATCTATGATTTGGTCCTTTGTTAATGTAAGAAATACTTTCCCATCAACTTTACGTTTACAAAAATTGTCACAATAAGCAGCACAATCATTGATGTGCAAAAACTGCGCAACATCGTGCACGTTCCACTCTACAGGCACTAATTCCCCAGAATCAGAACTTTTCTGCCATCCATCAGCTATTCTTGGAATATACTTTCCACTAGTTGTATTGACCTAAAAATTGATAATAATTAAGTGGATAATTACTCAATTAATAAAAATAAAGTCCATAATATAAGCAGAACATGTATACTCACACGAATATTGGAGGTAGTAGTCTTTTTTTGTGGTTGTAAATTTTCAACGTCACACTGAGTTTCATGTAATGAAGAATGACATTGTCCGATTGTAGGAATTGGTAAAGTTTGATCTGGTCCAGCTGGTTCTAATGCTGGTTCTGGTTCTCTTTCATCTTGTTCGGGTAAACTTTTCATCTCTCTATCATGTTCAATCTTTGTGATCTGTCCAAGTTCTTTTTTACACTCTTTAAGTCTTTCAACACGGGTGGTATGTTTTGATAAAACATTTCTTAGACAACTGATTTTACCACTTTTCTTCATTTTTCTTTTTGCTTTACGTTTAAGGCTTTTAGGTGTTTTTACAGCTGAACTAATTATTTCAATAGACACACGAGGGCCTTCAAGCTTATGATCAACAAGATCACACCAACCTACTGGGTAAATATCAGGGCTTTGACAATCCAGCCATTGGTCATATTCATCTTCCCAGCCATCAAAATGAACACGTAATAGTCGACCAATTACACGAGTAATTGTAGCAACACATACTAATCTTGGGTCCATTAAGTCCGCAGCTTCTAATCTCATTCCTTCAATAAATCCATGTTGAGGAATTTCACGATTAAATAATTGAACTGGTGCTGGTATAGTGTTTGTTTCAGCTAAATAATTGTCCCATGAAAAGGTTGTAGGATCATAGCCTTTTGGAGGTGTAAGGGGTAAACCATGTTGAGCACAAAAACCAATTGGAAAAATACATGGCGAACTAACATTATAACAGAACCAATCTGCACCACTAGTATCCTCGTCATAACTGTCAATTCTTATCATAATATAATTTTCTTTAAGAACTTGCATTACTGTAGCAGCACATATTGCTGAAAGATTAAGGGGATCTATTGCTTCAATTTTCATTCCTTCACAGAATGTATAACCCAGATGTACATGATGAATTTTTGGCACATGAAATAAATTTTCTGTAGCATCATCCGAACTTAAACGATTTTTTGCTACACGTTCCAAGTATTCTGGATACGCATCAAGTGTTTGTCCAACTTTTTTTGCCCAGCCTACAGGGTGGATCAAAGGAGAGTCTTCGTGGCACCAAAAACCACTATCTTCGGGCGGAGAATCGTAGTATCTAATATGCAATCGTTTGCCAACAATTTTTTGAATTGTTGCGACTTTAACTTGGGAGATTCTATTTTTGTCTACAACTTCTAAATGCAAACCGCAACGAAATCGAGATTTAATACTATCATTAACTTTATTATAAAAATTTGTAGGTAAGGTTCGAGCACCAGTAAGCCTTCGCATAAGAAAATCTTTCCAGTCCTTATATTTATTAGCAATTGTATTAGGAGGGATTAAGGGTTTCCCAATAGTTGCACACCAGCCAACTTGATGAATATCACTAGAACAAAGAGATACCCAAAAATCTTTCTCAGAATTCTGACCAAATCCTTCGTATCTTAATAATGCTCTATAACCAGAAATTCTGAGGACAGTAGCAACCCAGAAAGAATCCGGAAATGCTTCGCAAACTTCATCACAATCCGTATTCTCAACTTCAACTTTCATTCCTACAGTAATATTATCCCATATTTCAGATATCGGTGCATGTTTAAAACAGGATACTGGCGCTGCACAAAAACCTGACTCAGTAAGTTGCGGAGTCCAGTCATAAGAACCAGCCATTTCAGCGGTTCTTTTTCGTCTAACAGGCAAATCTTCAGGCATTACTGATTCAGGAATTATTTTATCTTCAGTTTTTTCTTCAGAAGAAAAGCATTCTTCACAACTCACTTGATTAACTCTAGCAAGCATCTCATGATCTGAATTTTTTTCATCTTTTGAAAGATGAATATGTTGTTGTTCAACATAAGATGGACTATAAGTTGAATCAGCCGTGGATGTTGTGTGCTCTGAAGACCTAGCACATGCCCTACTGCAAAATCTCCTTTCTTTTGTATAAAAAGCATGCTTTACACCTATCGCACCGCATTTTTCACAAACAGCTATCCCATCTTTGCGAATGGGAATAAAATTCAAATCAGTATGAGGTTGATAAGCGATCGGCGTCTTCAATACTAATCCGGGATGCTTAATCGGTTTAATTTTACGATTTTTATTATCTTGAGTCGTCTGAGTAGCTACATTGCTTACTACCATTTCCCGTTCTTCTTCTTCTTCTTCTTCTTCGTCTTGCTCTTGATGTCGTTGCTGTTCTTCATCTTCTTCCTCCTCCTCTTCTTCTTTTTCTACATAGTCATCTAAAGTTAAATAATCACTCATTCCTTCATTTTCTTCTTGAGTGTCGTATGCCTACAAAATAAGAGAAATAATTAATAAATTATATTTTTATAACATAGTACCGTTCAATTATACGTGCTTATAGGTGTATGTACTTGCTGAATGTTTTGACTATTAGCTGCTTCTATAGCTTCATCAATTTCTGAACAATTATTAGCAAATTGTTGAGGCAAATATCTAACCATAGTAGCAGGAGCTATTTGATGATTTCGTATATTTCCAAATGAATGAGAGCCATGTGTAATAAAAGGACTTTCAGAAGCGTGCCTTGGGTCTATTATGAGCTCAGTTGTTGGTTCATTATGTATCATCATATCTCCCATCCACACCATTCCTAATTCAGGAATACCAGGAATGGAAGTGTATACCGAATTCATACAAACGTTTAAACCTTAGAAAAATTAAACAAACATTAGTTAATCAATTTAATTAAGTTAATTAAGTAAACGAAAAAACTAAATTTGAACTTTGTACGTTTTGTACATTTAATTTATTGTTATCAATAACGATATGATACTACAATTATCTACTTTTTTTTTTTTTTTTTTAATTTTACGTATTATTACTTCAACAATAATTAAATACTTCTTGCAAATAAATATTCTATAATGATATCCCACAAAACTGTACAACGAATTTCGTACAAAAAAAAAAAAATTATATGAATGATTACAAACCATTCGGTGCCTGCATGTTTGATACTCCTGAGAAAATATATTAAAACCTTGTATTTAATATTACCGCAAACTGTCTCTTTCACAATGCCTGTTTCTCATTTTGTTTATTTTTATTGGCATTTTTTATCAACTTACATAAGGCAAAATTTTAATAACAAATTCACGAACGTTTTTTTTTAAACGTTAACCAATTTAATTAAAATAATATAATAAAAAATAGATAGAGAGATACGTCAAGCTGTATACAGGCTTTTTCTTTTTATATACTTTAGTACTCTATTCATGAATGCATAGAGGCGAATTTTCATAACGGAAATTTGATTCATTTTGTGACTGTGAATTTAGCCGACAACTGACAATCGAAAATTTTAACAATCGATAGCTCAGCGAGGAAATCGATTTTGACAAATCAAAAAAATTGAAGTTGTTTTTTTTTTCAATACTTGAAGGTGTATTTATTTGTAAATGAAAGACGAATTTTTTTTTCGCGATGAAATTTTGAAAATAAAACTTTGACGAGTGCTCTAATCAACACTTTTAGATAAAAAAAATCTAAAATTAAGTACTTACTTTTTTTTTTAATAAATTTAGATCGGTATTTAACTTTTTTTTTTTTTTTTGAAAAATTACTAGAACGTTGGGCAAACAATAAAAATTGAAAAAAAATAAAAAAATGTAGGTCTTTATTATACCAAAATCTACATATCTACACCCGCATTGATTTAGAACTAGAAATTTGAATAGCGCGCTATGCACGCGCCTAAATTTTAACCAATTGTGAATTTTAATGAATTGTGGCCCGTTTTTTGCGAGTTACGATCTTTGACTACCTTCAAGACTATCATTGTATTTTAATTTAGAGGATTTCATTTTTTTTTATTTCTTACCAAGTTATCAATTTTTTCTAAATAAAAGATTTTTTTTTGGAAAAAACGAATTTTTTTAATTTGTCAAAATCGATTTGCTCGCTGAGATGTCGATTGTTAAAATTTTCGATTGTCAGTTGTCGACTAAGTTCACAGTCATTTCATTTTTTGACTTGTAATAAAACAGTAATAACATGGCTTATACTCATGGGGTCTAATCCGTGTTGTGAATCCGAAAAGATTGATCACAACGCTCTCTGTATATTAATATAGAATTACGTATAAAAAGATGATGGCTGCAATAAATAATAGCGGGAAAAACCCAGTAAGATTTAAATAGTATCAGTAAGAGAAATAAGAATCTTTCAAATATCGTAAACCTTTCTATTTTAAATTCTATTGTTAAGTATGGGAATTTTTCTATCATAAATTTTAGGGTATAGACGAATTTATAATTACTGGAAACTCCCAAGGGAAAACATAAAAACTTTTAAGTGCCGTGCA